ACCTCATGATACCCTTACTAAAAGAACTTTTTAGCCAGGCACAGTGTAATCCTAGCACTTCGGAGGCTGAGGCAGGAGGATGTTCAAGGGTAGCTGGGCTACAAAGAGAGACTCCATTTCAAATCAAAACAAACCACAAAAAGAAAGTTAACTTCTGAAAATGTCTATCAGGAAGGATGACTGAAGGAAGGGAATGCTGAGCAGAGATATCAGTATCCATATGGGTGAGTTTACACAGATCACACAAAGCCATAATAGAGAATGAAAGCACATGATAGCCAGGTGTGCTGGCACTCACTAGTAATCTCCAGCACTCAGGAAATGGGTAAGAGGATCAGCAATTCACAGTCATACTCAGTTACATACTGAGTTCAAGGTTAGCCTGGGCTATAAGAGGCCTTCTCTCAAAAATCAAAACACAAAACAAACAAAAAGAAAACCCCCCACAAAACTTCAGGCTGGGTTGTAATGACAGGTGTCATAGGGGTTGCTTCTCCAGGTAAACTATTCTAAGGCTTAGGAGGAGGGGAGCTATTGATTAACCTAAGGAGACTTTCAAGAAATGCATGTTCACCTTTTCAAGGGTAATCACTAAAAGTTGAATGAATAAATTGCAAACCAGTAGAGGAACAAACAGAAATAAAGACAACCTGACCACCACCAAAGTGACAGGTAGGGCAGGCTTCCTACTCCCTACAAAGGCCTTGCAATTTGTAAGAACCACTTGTTGGAAGAAACCAAGGCTGAGTCATGAAGGGATTTACCCAAACCATTTCCTACGCTTATCTCCAATTAAAATTGGGCTGAGGACAGGTGGGTAAATGGTACACACATGTGGAAAAGTAGTATGTGGGGTTCCTAAGTCTGTGGTGCCTTCTTGGCACCAAGGACCCTGAGATGCATACATGGCAGCTAAGAGCTCTGAGGAATGCCTGACTTCTGATAATCTCAAGGCCAGTAGGACCTCAGTGTAGAAGGGAAAATTGGATGGCTGAGCTCTGGGCCCTAGTCCCTGGATCCTTGGTTCTTACCTGACTCTGCATAGCCAGTTGCTGTGATGATGGGGACAGCTACCATGAGCAGGCCAGATGCACTCCACACATATTTCATGAGGAACTGTTCCAGCATGACATACCATAGGCGTTCCAGCAGGATAAGGTTGATCTGTGAAGCCAGGTCTTGATAGGAGTGTTGTAGTAGTGCCAGTTCCACCTGCAAGGGCAATAGATATCCAACAGTCTTGTGACAACTCCTGGGGGTAATGGTGAGAGTCCCCAAGTACGGCCCACATACATGCTAAGCTATTTGATGGCCACAAGGCCAAGGGATTCAAGACTATATTTGTGGTGGGGCCAAGTCTCAAACAGGGGTAATGGTAAGGGACTGTCTGATGTTATGGGGCAGCTCCTATCCTCTCAATTACTGCTGTGGTTGGGACATTCTCTGTATCCTGCCAGGGCAGTTTCTGGATCCAGGCCCCTGAGGGCAGTTGCCTTTCATCTTCTGCTGACCCCATTTCTTTGGGCTCCCTCCTAGTGCCTCCCCACTCCAGAAATCAAGAGCAATAGTTTTTCTACCTTGAACCAAGCAAAGTGCAGCATGGAAGAGCAAATGATAAAGCTCTTGGTTTTGTAAAACTCAATAAATAGTCTCAGTCTACTTAGGCTCCATTTCCTGCTACTTTTCCAGGACTCTTTTCTGTGAGAAAATTACACTGAATTTTCCCACCAAAACAAGTAAATATACTCTCAATTCTGGTGGCAGCTACAGTCAGACAGGCCTTGGAGGAGTCTAGAAGTATTGGGAAGTATTCATGACAAGATGACTGTGGTGTTTCAAATTGCTCTGCCCCCACCCCCATGCCCAGCATGGCACTGGTTGTCAAGTGTTTTCACTTCTTTCTCCATTTTACTACCATACACCTCATTGTGTATATTCTCATGTCTATTGCAGGACAGAGAAATAGAGAGAGACAAAGTGACCTGCCCAAGCTCATACTGCCTGGAGATAGCAAGCAGTGTAGGAATGTGGACTGACTGGGCCAGGCTGTTAAGGGAATCAGATTTTCATTTTGGTTTGAGGTATGGTGGCTAGAATTTAGGTCCTTGGGCATTCTAGGCCTTGAGCATGCTAGGTAAGCACTCTACCACTGAGTTTATTTCCAGCCCTAGAGAACCAGACTTCTGTTTTTATATATTTGTGACAGGGTCTCATTATATAGCCCTGGCTGGTCTGGAATGCTTTATGTAGACCAGAGCCAACCTCAAATTTGTGGTAATTTCCCTGTCTCTGCTTCCCAAGTGCTGGGATTACAGGTGTACACCACCATGCCTGGCCTTTTTGTTATTTTTGAGACAGCCTCCCTCTGTGCCGAGAAACTCATTATGTAGACCATGAACTCACAGTCATCCTCCTGCTGCAGCCTGATAACCAGATTCTTACAAATAAAGCTGATTTAAGACTTACTTAGTTCTTTCAAGCAGGAGGTTGTATACATATGTATGTGTACACATGCATATGCACTGTTTGAAATTCTAGCAAGAATATAATACCCTGCTGTTTGCCTACCAGCCAGCCAGCCAGTTAGTTCCCTTCTGTCATAAACTGTTAACCTGAATCGAGGCCCATGTCCACAGTACATTAGTTAGTGGGACTAGAGTGGGACATGTGCCTATACAAGGGCAGTCAACTCACCACGGTGACCCATCATTTCATACAGCTTAGACAAGCAGACCAAGGGTGTACACAAGGTCCCTGGGTCCAACAAGAGAACTCTATTGTTGAATGTGCTATTTCCTGAAGCTAGCCCAGAGGAAGTCTTTCTAAAAACCATGCTGTTTCTTTTGCACGCTCTGCCTAGGCCTGCTCATATAGCCCAGCTTTCTTCAAACCTAGCCTCTCATTCCTAAAGTGAGTAAACCACCTTGCAGCACCTTGGTAATCTAGGTTTGTGCCTTGAGCTGGTAGCAGTACCAGCTAAGGCTGATGGTGTAGCTATGGATATTGTGCCAAGTGCCTCACCCAAGGCCCTGGCTACTTGCCAAGGCCCTGCAGCCTGGTATGCAGAAGAGAATGGGAGAGGGGTTATAGTGAGGGTGAGGTACTTTTTCTCCTCATCTGAAACCTGACCTGGACCAGAGATACCTCTCTTTGCAGAATGTAGAGACAAATCCTTTCTGAAAGTCAAAGACAAGCCTGATTCTCTATATGATATGGAGCCAATGAGACAAGGTCCTGGGGCAAGTGGCTACCTGACCCAGGAAGCACACACAGACTTTCAAGAAATGGGTGCTTTTGTGTCCCTCCCTCGCCCAAAGCACTGGGGAACGGAAACTAGTTGCCAGAATAAGGCCTGAGGCAGCTGCAACCACAGGCCTAAGGAAGGGGAGGGGCTGCCACAGAATAAAGCCTGCACTGGCCTGAAGTAGCCTTTCCCAGTGTCTGACAGCTCTCCTGGACCCAGCCTACCTCATAGAGTGGCTGGGCTCTGGGCGGAAGGGTGGGGGAGGAGCCTGTCAGGCCTCAGGCCTACTGGCCGAGGCTGGGGCCCGGCATCCCCTATCCCTGGGAGGGAGGGAGGCAGCTAGGAAGGTTGCTTGCCAAGCCTTTCAGTCACTAGCCAGGCATGCCTGGGGCTTTGATAGCCTTGACCCTGAGCACTAGCTGCTGTGCTGAGCTCTGCTTGTTAACTTCTGCTTGGGCTGAGTCATGCCCATAATACCAGTCAGCCCAGGCAGTCAGCTCTGCTGGACGCTGGCCTTCAAAGGGCCCAGAGGTGCAAGAGAGGTTAGGTAGCAGGCTGTGTCCTACCATCCCTGCTCCCGGATGGTAGGAGTCTAATTCCTCCCAGTTGGTTGCAGGAATGGTTGACTGCAAGCTTGGAGTGAGCTGAATCAGGAGCATCTCAAACCATTAGAATCCAAAGCTCCAAGACAATTTTACCAAGGAAGCAGAAGTGGCCTGGAGGTTGCAGGCAGCCAGCACAGGGAAGTTCCCACCCAGTGGTGCCATTTCTCCATTTCAGCACCTTAAGACTATAGCCATCCAAGGCCTACCCCTGAGCTTGTTCCAGTGCCTAATCACAACTTTAACATCAGCCTGAGTGGGCCTTAGGTTTTCCCCACTGCTTACAGCTGGCTGCCATGGGTCTCGCAGGCACCCCCCCTCCCATATAAGCAGCATTTCAACCTGCCCCACCTCATGGCCCCCGTAGAAGGCAATTTCCTCTGAGTTGGCCACCACTCGAGAGTGCATGTAGCGAAGTTCTCCCTTCCGCCGGGCCTCCTCTGCTACCAGCTCCCCAAACTTGGGAGAGAAGGCTCGAAGCACGTTGGCTGTTAGGAATACCACCAGGCCAGCGATGGCTGAGGGCCAGGCTGTGCCAGCTCCTCTGGAGCGGGCAGCTCGAAGGAGAGTGTAGGATGTCACAGCCACGTCCAGGAGCGGCTTGGTCAGGTTGGAATACAGGTGGGCTACAGAGGCAGCAAAGGCTACCACATCCTCCGTCAGAGATTGGTCAGGGTTTCGAAGCCGTCCATCCATGTTGCTTACTCGGTAGTAAGTCTGCTGGGAGAAGTAGAGGCTGTAGGCATGAGCAACTAGACGGCTTCGGAAAGACAGAGCTAGCTGGCCCTCTAGGTAACGGATGGCACTGTTGATGAAAGTGGCAGGAAGGGCGATGAGGAGCCACTGCAGCAGTTGCCAGCTAAAGGCCCGTGGGTCCTTGCGTACAATGCAGCGGGCCAGTCTGCCGTCCAAGCGGGCCACATACACAGACAAGAAAGTTCGGCTTACCAGAGCAGCAGAATGCAGGGCCAGCAGCCCTGTTTCCCGGCACAAGACTCTGGGGAACAGCAGCCTCAGGAGCACCAGGAGCCGCTGCAGGAATACCCGGTTCATGCCAGCCCTGGCTGCTGTGGCCCCAGAGGTCTCTTGCATGGGCTCCCCAGTTGGCACCTGAGGGCCTCTGGCAGGAGTCAGACACTGCCGTACTAGAGGGTAGATTTTGTGGACTCCATAAGCTGTGAGGGCCAGGACCACAGCTGTGCGCTTCAGCGTGGTCACCCTCGAGGATCGTGGAGTAGAAAGCACCGGCATGTCACCTGGACTGGTGGGCAAGCTGAGGGCTGGGACTATTGCCCAAGGCTGCAGTTGCAGGCAGATGCTGGAAGTGCTGTTGCTCCGACCCAGGGCTCGTTGTCTAGGCAACTGGAAACCTTGAAGTGGTCCCTGAGACTGTTGCTTTAGGTCCCTGGAGTGGTGCTGGGGCCCTTAGATCGGTTGGCTTAGGATCCTCCAGGGTCGTGGCCTCTTCAGGCAGCCCAGGTGGAGGAAACTGGCTTCCCTCTCCGGATAGTCCCTTAGCCCCTGAGGTCAGAGCCTCTAGAGGTCTTAAGGAAAGAGGCTGTCTCTTCCCTTCCACCTCCTCTTACTGCTCCTCCTCCCCTTTGTGACACCCCTCCCCGGGGCACCAGGCGTGTTCGTCCGCTTTGCACCCGGGCTGAAGCTTCTGTGACTTCGCCACAGCCCAGGATCCCCACCCACCCACCCCTCCCTAGGGGGATGGGAGGCGGAGTTGGGGCGGAAGGTGGAGTCCGGGCAAGGGGTGCCCCACCCTGTTCTCGCCCTACGGCTGGGTTCCACCCCCTCTCTGACCACAGAGACAAGGGATGATCGCGTAGGCTAGAGAAGCGGCCCTAGCCTTCCCGCCAAGGCTCCGCTGTCCTCCACCCCTGCGTGTCCGAAGTGTAAGAGGCGCGGCACTGCAGCCACTTCCTCTGAAGACCTAAGCAATGGCCTGCGGCCTGGGGGCGGGGCGGGAAACGGCAGTGGGCGGAGCCGTTGGGGGCCTCACAGGGCTTGTAGGTGGTGCCCAACGCGCGTTTCCGGTTTCCGGGCGAGGGCTAAGGGGCGGGCTGGAGCGGTGGTGAGAGTTTGGTAGTTGCGGTTGGGCGTGCGTGTTGTCTGAAACTCGGTAAGCTGGGTCCGCGGGCATGGCTAGCTTCCGGACCACAGAGGTTCCCCCAGCCCCTTCATGAGGACGGAAACTGAGCTTCCAGAAAGACTGGGGATTCTGGGAAATGTCGGGATTCGGGCCGACTTGGGAGTCTAGGGCAGGGGCCGGTAGAGGGATGTTGGAGTGGCATGTGGAGTGGTGCTCTAGGGGCACGAGGGCGGGGGCCAGTGATGAGGTCCTACCCGAGAGAGCTGTCCACGTAGGCCTAGCTCCTCGAAGGCTACCTGGCACAATGGACCTGGGTGGCATTGTGGCATACTAAGGCTGGTAGGAGGTTGGTCCCTTTGGCTTCGGGCGATATTTTCTGGTTCTGGAACTTTCTCCAGGTAACGCTTCGAGGTGTTCTGTGGAGACCTGCATTTGCTTTTGGCCTGGATTCCTGCCCTCTAGGAGTCGCTCTTGTGGGCCTTTTGACGGTACTTAATGCTTCACACTTCATGTATCCGCAGGAGCAGTCAGAAGGCCTGTTTAGTTCCCAAAAAGCAGCTTCAGCGGGAGGCTGCTGGGTTATCTGTCCCTCCCAGGTGTTGGGGGGATGAATGGGCCTCCTTGCTTGTTCAGGGGCCGAGGCGGTGGCGTTTGCAGAAGGTGCACATCTGAACATTTGTAGTCCCAGGCCCATTGTAGCAGCGACTGAAAGACATGTAGCTCCTGCAGAGGCTTCAGGTCTGGGAAGGGAGTCGGAGGGGTGCTCCTGTTTATATACTGTTCTTATGAGAAACATTTTTTTAGTTAAACAGGTCTAGGGAGTCCCTTGGACACCCCCCCCCCCCCCCCCCCCACCCCCGCCCGCAAAGAATCATCAACAAAGGTACCTTGTCGTGGTAACACATGCTTGAGGGTCATAAGTAACTATCCCAGTCAAGGCAAATTCGTTGACTGGTTAACATTGGAGGGGCTATAGCAGGCCCCAGCATGGCAGGCCTTGCCCTTCTCCCATTCCCTCTTCCTTACTAAAAACGGTTAGATTACATTCTTAAAGCCAGCCACCAAGGTCTGTTCCCTTATTTGGCCACTACCTCTTCCTGAGGCTGACTACCAAGATCCAGCTATCAAGGTATTGAAATAGTCAAAAGTCCCCTTTTGGCTACCCTAATTAACATATCCATTCAAAATTAACCAACTCATCCTAGCATGGGGTTTCTCCTTTTCCCTTTATAAACTGCCATTTGCCTATGGGCCATGTCTTGTCTCCTCTCTATCCAGAGGCAGTCCTTTGTCCCAGAGGGACAAATACCCCTTCTCCCTCCCCCTTGTTCTTTTCCCCTTCTCCTTAGATCTCTGTCTCCTATTCCTCATCCTTTGTCCCTCTGGGGCAAATAAATCTCCCTTGTGCTGAGAACTTGGTCTTGGGGTGTCTTGGGCTGACTTCACAGTCCCTTTCAAACATCATTGACCAAGTATCCCTATTGGGTAAAGACCTGTTTCAGCTAGGTCTTCAAAAGCTCTGAAGCAGAGTGCTGGAATCTATTGTGAAGAGTAGCAGCCCCAGCCTCTCTAGGGTCCTTGAACTAGATGTCAGTGGCTGCCCAGATCACATAGTTCCTTCTTTTCCCTTTGACCTACCAGGAAACAAGCTCCCATCTCTCTGTTGGAAACCTTTAAGTCACAGGATGAGTCTGCAGTGGACTGCCGTTGCCACCTTCCTCTATGCAGAGGTCTTTGCTGTGTTACTTCTCTGCATTCCCTTCATTTCTCCCAAAAGGTATGGCCAGTAGAGCAATAAGACAAACATATGGGGAGGGTGCCTATCTAACCCTGAACCTTATAGTTTCTGTGTGCAGAGTTGGTGGACACTGAAATTGGGGCTAAATGGAAACAAGTAAAACCTGTCTTAGACGAGGGTGGCAGCAGTGGGTTGTTTTTTTTTTTTTAATTTTTTTTTAAATCCTGCACACTGTTTTGCTTTGTCACCTCTTCAGTTCCTTTCCTGTGCATCTGGTCTTTGCAAAGGAAGATCTAGCTTCAGTTTTGTGAATAATAGTCTCTTGCCTACTCTTAGGCCTCAGGGCTGTGGGGGATGGTTGTGTGGAAATCAGAATACTTGCACCACTGGCTTACATTGTTGATTTGCTGACTTTTGTCCTCCTAACTAGCTCTTAATGGCATTGCTTAGCAGGCTCATGAGCATTACTCAGGCTATGAAGGATGAAGCCATATTCCCTTTTAACAAACAGGATTTGCTAAAAGTTAATTAGGTACTAATTTTTAAATTATACATAGTACATTAACACGCTATCTTTATTTAAATTAAGATGTCATAAAATCACCACAGTTAATAATACCTAAGGAATATTCTTGCCAAAACCCACATTGGCATCCAATTTACAGTAAATACAGAGACCAAAACACTGGTGGGACTGTGTGGATGCTTTCTAGGACAACTTTGTTCCACCACTCAGGAGGTGAAGGCAGGATCAGTTCAAGGCCTATTTTGGCTACATAACAAATTTGAAGCTAGCCGTGAGACCCACCCTGTCTGAAAATGATAAGGGCTAGGGAGATGGCTTGTCAGTAAAGTGCTTACTGTACAAATATGAGGATCTGAGTTTGATCACTACCACCCATGTGAAAGCTGGACAGGGTGACACACTCCTGTAATATAGTGCTTTAGAGGCAAAGACTAGGAGGATCCTAGTCAGAATCAGTAAGCTCTGGGTTTAGTGAGACCTTTGAAAAAAAAATAAAGTGGAGAATGATTAGAGAAGACACCCACCTAAGGCCCCCACACTCATGTGCATGGACCAAAACACATGTATATCCACATATAGATACAAACACATAGAAAAAAAGTGAAAAAGGAGAAGGAAGCAGGGACTAAGACCAACTTAAAACACTAAGTGCAAATTCAGAACCATGCCATGTCATGTTTCTAGCAAACCAAACTGTTGATTTTTAACTCTGCATCTGATGATGAAGGTGGTTTGATGACAGGGTCTCAGTATGTAGGCTTGGGACTTGCAATGTAGACCAGTCTGGCCTCGAACTTATAGAGATCCACCTGCCTCTGCCTCCCAAGTGCTGGGATTAAAGGTGTGCACCACCATGATCATCCTGGCTTGCTGATTTTTAACAGTATGGAACGCCTTCTGAAGACTTTTTAGAGCCATATCTTGAATATTTGTTCATGAAAATGGAGAGTCTTTTTATAACCTAGGGTGGTAAGAGTCTAGACAAAAAAAAAAAAAAAGATTGTTATATATTAGAAAGACAAAAGGAAGCCAGGCATAGTGGCACACTTCTTTAATTCCAGCACAGGGAGGCAGAGGCAGGTGGATCTCTGAGTTCAAGGCCAGCCTGGTCTACATAGTGAGTTCCAGGACAGCCAGGGCTACATAATGAGACCCTGTGTCAGAAAAAAAGAAGATAAAGACAAAAGGAATAAATGGTGTTTGTGGCAGGCACTTCAACTACTACAAAGAAAAGTACAATGAAAAGTAAGTTTCCTTTATTAGAGACTGCCAGTGTTTTAAGACTAATTTTCTAGGTTTTTCTGCAGGTGGACAAACATCCTTTATTTATTTATTGGTTTGTTTGTTTACTTACTTATATATATTTCATGTGCATTGGTGTTTTGTTTGCATGTTTGTCTGTGTGAGTATGTTGCACCCCCCTAGAATTGGAGTTATAGACAGTTGTGAGTTGCCACATGGGTGCTGGGAATTGAACCTGGGTCCTCTGAAGAGCAGCCAGTGCTCTTTACCACTGAACTATCTCTTCAGTCCTGACAAACATGTTTTCACTAAATACTCTTGAACTTTATAAATAGGAGAAATATATAAGCAACTAAGACTGATTTTGTACAAGCCTCTTGGTCATTGGAGAAGAGCACCAAGCTATCTTTCCATTTTGCTCAGGGTTTGGATTACAAAAGTGCAGCTTCTTTAGTGTCTATCTTCATCTCCTTAACAGATGGCAGAAGATTTTCAAATCCCGGCTGGTCGAGTTGGTAGTGACCTATGGCAACACCTTCTTTGTGGTTCTCATCATCATCCTTGTGCTGTTGGTCATTGGTGAGTGAGCTGCATGCAGTAGGGGTTGCTGCCTGACCAGATCCTGTGTACTGGCATCTAAAGCCCTGTGTCACATTGGATGGATAGAAAACAAGTTTTACCTTCTCAGAGACAAACTAATTAAGTGCCCTTTCATTCATGTGAAGGAGGTGCTATATTAGCAAGGCTTTCATTTCAAGAGGTTCCTATAGCAGTCTGTGTGGGCTTATACTCAGTGGCTTTTATTTATTTATTTTATTTTATTTTTTTTTCGCGGGTACTCTAGTTATTTTAAAACTGATGCTGAGAGAACTAACTGGCCTGTGACATTGGTCCAGATAGTGCTGCTTTTTAGTCATGTAGGCAGCAGTGTGGTCTTCTCGCTTGAAGCCTAACATCATCATCTTTTTAAATTTATTTTGTCTTTTACCTTTTGTTATTTGTCATTGTTATTATTTTTTGTTGTTTGAGACAGGGTCTCTCTATGTGGCCTGGGCTATCCTGGAACTTGCTCTGTAG